TAGCCTATTACTACTAAATATGTGTTCTTGTTACAATGACGTTATGTTGTAAAATATAATTACAAAACCAAAAGTTATTCACCATTGTCTTTTACTGTTTTTGAAAGAATAATGAACCTGTTTGAATTTTAAACAAAATGACTGCATGCCCAGCCTTCGTTAGTTTTAGAAGGCTGTGGTCATAGTCCCAGTCCTCTGCTCGACCCTGACGTCCTGGCATAACGTTGACATCGTACAACTTAAGATTATTTGTTCAAAACGTTACCTAGCTCTATAACTCTATAATTAAAAAAAGTCCAGAAAAAATCCGAACAAATCCGGAAAATCCAAACAAATCCGGAAAATCCAACAGATTTTCAAAAATCCAGAAAAAATCCGAACAAATCCGGAAAATCCAAACAAATCCGGAAAATCCAGCAAATTTTCTCTTCAAAAATCCGCTAAAAAATCCGGGAAAAATCCGCTAAATCCGCTAAAAAATCCGCGGATTTTTAAAAATCCGAAAATCCCGTACGCTTTTTTGGAGTGAAATGCCCCTCGGACAGCATAATATCTCACTCCTTTGGAGGTCATTTATCCAAATTTTCGTTCATTTTAAACATATTCGTGTAATAAACTACTGTTCAACAGACGCAGCTTGACATATTCTTTCAAATTTTGTCCTCAAAATAAAGGTCGGACGGCAGATGTTTTTAAAATCGCTGTTTTATTGCGAAAATTCGACATTTCTCCATTAACTTCAATACAAAAATTTAGTTCGGCGCTTACCAGACTCTCACGCATGCGCAGTGAAAAAGTGGGGACAGGATTTTCCGCGAGTCGGCCATCTTTATATACTTAATCTTTGGCGTCAGCGTAAACCGTTGTAATTTATTGCGAGATAATTAACATCAATCGCCTGATGATCGTACGCTGTACGTGAAACACTGTGTAGCGATGAAATAAAATTTTAAGATTGAAATTTGTTGTTTATGTCTTTCTATATATATATATATATATATATATATATATATATATATATATATATATATATATATATATATATATATATATATATATATATATAATATATTATATATGTATATATATATATATATATATATATATATATATAAATATAAATATATTTTTTATATGATTATGTCATGTACGGTATATAGTTCGAACTGATATAATTCAGCTGATTTGCAAGAGGCTGCAAATTTTTGAACTTATTAAAAATTTTGAACTTATTAAATATTATATATATATATATATATATATATATAGGCGAATGTCAATAAGTATATTGAGTGTCGAATCATAAGAATAGAGTGCTCGATACAAAAGTAGAGCAAATAAAAGACAAGCTTGAGAATAAGTGAATAAATGAATAAATGTTAATAAATGAGAATAAGTGAATAAATGAATAATTGTGAATAAATGTTTTAAACGAAGTAACTCAAGCTTGTTTTTTGTCTTTTATATATATATATATATATATATATATATATATATATATATATATATATATATATATATATATATATATATATATATATATGTGTGTGTGTGTGTGTGTGTAAAGCTAGGCACTCTGAAGAAGGCTGTGGCATGCAGCCGAAAATTTAGTTTTTGTATCTAATATACCTTTTTTTAATAAACTTCTTCAAACGTAGCCGTTCTGTTTGTTACATTTGAAGTCTTGCCGGCTGAGCAGAGTACTGGCATTTGTCATATATATATATATATATATATATATATATATATATATATATATATATATATATATATATATATATATATAAAGATAAAATAAACCTGGTTTACTTCACAAGATCTTATGAAGTAAACCAGGTTTATTTTATCTTTATCTATATTAGCTCTATACTTCGGTATATCGAGCACTCTACTCATATATGATTCTAAATACATATTTGGTTATATATATATATATATATATATATATATATATATATATATATATATATATATATATATATATATATACCAGGGGGGGGTGTCTTTTCCAACAAACCAAAAATGGCTCGCGCACAAAATTTAAAAGTTGTAATCAAATTTTGAGTTAATAGATGGAAAAATTGGCGGGTGTTTAATTACTGTACAAAATTTCCGACAATTTGGTTTAGTTTGAGCTCTTTAACTATTCATGTAAAGTTACATTTCGGCTAAAAATCATCTATTTGCATGCTTAATTAATGCCTTTGCCTAATTTGCATATGTCAGCAATATGCAAATTAGGTAAAGGCATAATTAAGCATGCGAAAGGCTGATTTTTTAGAATAAAATGAATAGTTAAAGGCTTAAACTAAACCAAATTGTCTGAAATTTTGTACAGTAATTAAAACCCAACATATTTTCATCTATTAACTCAAAATATGATTACAACTTTTAAATTTTGTGCGCGAGTCATTTTTAGTTTGTTGGAAAAGACACACCCCCCTGGTTCACAAAATTTGAGTTCGAGAATTTTTTTTCATTATTCTACATTATAAGTACCCAAAGAAACTATATATATAAAAAACCAGATACAAATAGGTGTTTTGCAAAATTGAGAGCAATTTCAAATCTGTTCAGTTTTTTTTTTATACACCCTGTATATAGTTGCATTTTACGCAATTATTGGTATATCTCTGATTCGGACCGAAAGCCTCTGAATGAAAACTGAACAAAATAATAGTGCACGACTGGGTACGAGTGAGGCTATATCTGTCATTTACGATCAGGTAGTATAACATATATGATATATAATTTATCTCGTATATATAGATTGTGCTCACCAAAGTGGTTTACGAGAGCATTAATGGTGGCGCACATGGTCTTGGAACGGACGTGAAAGTTGGAAGTGCGTTACTGGGAGAAATTGTAGCCACATCATTACTCGTCCTTACTGTTCAAATGACAGCTGTTGACAGCAAAAATAAAGTACCCATTGCCCCAATACCAATTGGATTTGCAGTAGCTGTTGGCATCTACGGAATGTAAGTTGATAATATTTTGGCAATTCATAGCCTTCATGGCAACATATAAAATCGTTTTACACACATAAAAGGTCTTTTAGTCACATACTCACATGTCCAAAAATTTCATAAATCCACATTACTTTGGTAAAAAATGTTTTGTGCTGGGTAGTCTAAACTTCGTTCAAAGCCATGACATGTTAATTGTAATCCAAAAGTTATGATACCATTGTGTAAATCAACCGTAGTGTAGGATTTTACCCAATTTATTGTAATATTTAAGTTATGAACATAGCATTCTGTATATTGATCAGTTGCGGTTATGTTGTTACACAGAGTAAGTATTATCATCATACAATGATAAATCGTATTAATTTAACCTAACATTACAACTCTTCATTTTCAGTGGTGCAGTATCTGGAGGCTCGTTAAACCCAGCAAGGAGTTTTGGTCCTGCAGTAATTGGTTCGTACTGGGCCGATCATTATGTGTACTGGGTTGGTCCAATATTTGGCGCCATTTTAGCCTCGGCAATATATCGCATCGTGCTCGCCTCACCAGACCGATTGCTGTTCTGTGAGGGATCAAATGTACAACAATCTCATACTGATGTGGAACTAGGCAGTACAGCGGGGTTGCCATGAAAAGATGCAGGGTTCCAGTAAAATAAGCATGGCGAGAGATAGACAATTGTTTGTAAATTCTGTACAGATATACAAGCTGATAAAGAGCTCCGAATAACTCCTAAGAACACAAATGTTTATACGACTGAGGTGAATTCCGACATTGTGTATAAATAGTAAAGGCAAAGTGTGTATAATAATATATTTACAGTTTAATATGTGTTTTTGTTTTTACTTTGTTTTGACTAAATCCATCTGATTGGTTTATTTGTCACGTGATGCTTTTATAGTTAGTATAAAAGCTCGTGCAATTTTCTCGAACCCCGCTAGTAACTCCAGACGAAGGGCCTTCGCTCGAAACGTCGAAATTCTCCATAAATTTTGAGATAGTTGCATCCCTACCAACGAAAGCTTGTGTGCATAATTTCCGCCGAGTGTAGCGAGGCAGCACCAGGGCAGCACACTATTCTTGACGTGCTATAGTTTCTTCAGAGTGCACTCGACCCAGTCTTTCGCGCGATCTATATGATCTCAATCTTGTGTCTGTCTGTATCTATGTATGTTTGTAAAGATGTCGTAATTCCGGGGAAATAATTAAGCTTCAGGAAGTTTTTTAAACCAGCATGATTCTCAGGATTTCAGTAACGAGCTTAATTAATATATATTTTGAATAAATCGGGCAAGACTGGCTTTATTTCTTTCTGGTGATATACATGAAGGCATGTACATTTAGACCTGCTGTTTAGTGTTCGATAAAGAGATATAGAAACAATATGATTTCTTGAATTTATCCATATCGGCAGTTTTAACAGCTCACTGCACTGATCTAGCTATCCGTCAATATGTCTTATTTACACGTTGAGGACGAGGTTCCTGACGCTGAGAACGAGGTTCCTGACGCTGAGGACGAGGTTCCTGACGCTGAGGACGAGGTTCCTGACGCTGAGGACGAGGTTTCTGACGCTGAGGACGAGGTTCCTTACGTTGAGGACGAGGTTCCTTACGCTGAGGACGAGGTTCCTTACGCTGAGGACGAGGTTGCTTACGCTGAGGACGAGGTTCCTGACGCTGAGGACGAGGTTTCTGACGCTGAGGACGAGGTTCCTGACGCTGAGGACGAGGTTCCTGACGCTGAGGACGAGGTTCCTGACGCTGAGGACGAG